TGGCTTAGAGTACAGGTATAGCCTAATTACTTCACTGCTGTAGAATTTCTCTTTTCTCTAAACAAGTTTTAGCATGACATGAACCAAAACAGTATGAAGAGAAGCATCTGAGATCCCCCCGCGAGCCCCGCATGTATTTTTCTCATTTCAGTCTTCCATTGTCTTTCAATATATTCCAATTAGGAAACCTCAATTTTTGGTTCTGTTTGCATTTCCCAGAGATATTAAATTATTCAATCCACGATATAAGTGCATTCCCCTATCAGCAAGGATTTAATTAACTATCTCTGCTTTAAGAAAAAGGACTGCAGATACAGTCATGGAAAAAGCACGCATCTTTACCCCATAAAAGTTTTTTTAATTTAATAACTGGACAACCTAACTTCTAGAGTTAATAATTCAAGAGAAATTCAAAGAACGTGAACCACAGGAGCTTTTTTCCCCAAGATTAGATGAACAAAATAATGAGACCCTGGAAACACAAAAACTGTTTCTTTTTCCTCCTCCCCATTTTCCTATGAATTAAACTGCAATCTAAGGCAGTACTACAACAGCGTCACTGAAGCCATTCCCCCCCTTGCCTTTATATCCAGAACACCCCAAAATCTTTTCAAGAATCAATATATAACTGCTAAAGATTAGCACAAAAAGCATCATGAACCTTAGGTATATGTAATAAGAATTAGAACAGGCTTATTTACGGTTGTATGACATCCTTCACTTCTTCTTCCGACGCTTTCATCTTCTGCAACAAACAACTCAAAGTACCTCCTCAAATGCAAATTACACATATATAAATCTCATCTTTCGTTTCTTATTCCCTTAGCAAGGCTTTCCTGAGATTGAAGAGAGATGCCACACAAAGCAACACCAATTCCAGCTGAACTAGTAGGTACTTCTGCAGCAAAACTGAGTATGATGCTCCTTTGTTCCTCCCATCTCCCAGAGCACTTGCCCTTATTCCTTCAAAGAAATAATCCATTGTCTCACACACAGAATTTTCCCAGCCATCTAATTTCCCTTCATTGACACTTTACTCATTCCAGAGCCACTTTGATTGCAACACTGAGCTCTACTTAATGCAGATATGAATATTTTCTTTGTAATTAAATGCAAAACTTTCACAGAGCCATCAGCTTTAGACAAGATCGATAACTGAATATCTGAACTCATTGCACACAGTCTTAAAAATCCTCTTCAAATGACCTCTTAAACTGACGGCACACACTTGTCATTTGATGAAGGGCTAACTCCAAACAATCATTTAATGAAATAAGTAAGTCTTTCAAAGTCTTCCCAAATGTGTGACAGAAAGAAATCTTAGTTCAGTTTTAATGCAACTTCTAAATAATATGAGGCAAGAACCTGTAGTATTAGTAGTCTACCTTAAAATTCCAGGAGAAAATAAAGTCCTGTGTTGTTGTCTTTCTCTGCTGAATTTGCAGGTGGCCTACAATCTGCTCAACTAGCCAGCAGGAAAATAGTGTCTGGTTGAACTAGCTAATGCAATTATTCAAACCAGAGCAGAGTTAAAACACTGATTTTTACATAAAATAAAATAAGCAGAGTTCAAGCATATAAGTCAGGATGTTTATATGATCAGCCCTGAAAATCAGTGGGAAGGAAAAAAACCTAGACCTGCAGAATATTTCAGACAGTTTCACTGACAAGGCAGCCACTGCTTCGGAGCCCTTTGAGACAAACCTGCAGTGCTTTTTTAGAAGAAAACTGTTTTAGAAGAAAACTGACAGCTGCAGTAAAGCCTTTAACTTCAGAGACTCTCACTCTGCATTCTGAACTCATCAGAACGAGGAAAAGCCCATCCCTGCGAGCTCAGCACCAGGGCACCCAGTGCCTTCACCTCGGCTTCGGCAGATCCACTAGAGGGAGATCCTAAATTAAGCAACCTCCAATTTCACCAGCAGCCAGCAGAACAGCTGAGGATGCCAACTGCAAGCAAAGATCAATGACATTTTTCAAATATATGCAAGAGAAGGAGACCGTGATTTAATTTTATTTTAAAAAGAGCGAGAGAGCCATACCCAACAGCTGACTTGCAAACTAAAAGGATGTACACAGCACAATCTTTAATATTCCTCAGAAGTCATTTAGATTTCTGTGAACCCTTGCATAAAATTTAAAATTCATCTCCAGCTTTATGAATTTCTGAATAGTATGCTCAGCTAACATTAAAAGTGCTTTCCTTTTATGAATAAAATACAACATGGAATAACCAAGCTAATAAAAGAAATCGCCAAAGTGAGAAAACACAGCAGAAAATAAGGATACTGCAAGAATCCAACTTTGACTGTAAGCAATTCTACAGGAGAAGGAAAGTTACCTATATATCATTTATTTTACTTGAGTTGGAAGCTCTATATGCTATATTTCATACGCTAGAAAATACAGCAATTTATTTAAAATATTAGAGACAAGATGTCCTCTTCAAGTACAGATTTTTCAATTCTTTAAGTACAGATTTTGAAGCAGTATCTTCATAATACCAACTGCATGTGTTAGAAGTCTTTAAAATCCTAGCAGATAATTGAAAGAAACAAAACCATCAATATATTATGCATTGATCTTCACGTATTTATAACTTCACTTTTATAACATATACTCTCTCAACACCTTTCCAAAAAATAGGCTAATTTGTTTATAAAAGAAGGGAAGTTGCAATCCATTTTCTAAAATGCAGAGCTAATATGAAAGCCTCAGAGCCAGTGACCCATCTAAGTAAATATTCAGCTATTTCAGAGATGCTGAGGGGGAAAAATTAACAGCAAGGATTCATTTCTAGCTGCACTTTTAGGAAATTATATCAACTATAGAGAGAAGAAATGCATTAAACTTTGAGCAAGGAGTCCAATTAGCTTGATCCTAAACTGCAAGCTACTCAGTATCCCATTTCCAATACTGAAGCAGGCACGTTTAGAAAGATACTTGATCTTTTTTAATTCTTACACTGATAGAGATCATAAAATATGTAGATCATACATATTAAAATATGTAGATCATACATATAAGACAAACCTCCCAGCTGATAAAACTCTGGAACACTTGATGACAGTATTCTAACACAGACACATTATGAACATTATCTTTAAATATTCTCTGGAAATGTTACAATGTTACAAGGCTTACAGAGCAATCCTATATGCATAGTTAGGATTTCTTTTAAAAAGCAGCAGTGCTAAACTACTCATCTTCAGACATCTGCTGAAAACCATGCTGATAATGTTAAGCTTTGGTTTTATTTCATCTTGATGAAGCTTAAGAGCACCTATGTGTCAGTGACAGAAAAAGCTAATCTTAAACAACTACAGTTCTTTTTGGCTGACAGGGGCTAGGGAAGAACAGTTATCTCCTGTGCCCATCATTAGCTTGTGATGCAGCTAATTAATGCATTTTGACTTGTACCTACTGCTGCTACCAAGTCAAATCACAAGGAGAAACAAAGCGACTACCTTACAATTCGGAAAACTTAAAGGTTACAATCAGTCACTTTCAGACATAATTACAGAACTTAATTCATGTCCTTGTCAGAGCTACACCTCAAAACTGTCAAGAACGAACCAGTAGATGACAGCACTGTAGCCAGCATCTGGGCTGTGATACCACAGTCATACTCAACTCTCATTTCAAAATTTGCCTGAAAATAAAACAACCAATCATCAGAGATTAACTGGTCTTAAATTGAATGAAGCAGACAAACTCCAACTGAAGTGGCACCTTAGCTCAGTAAAACTTCTGCTACTGAAAAAATATATCAATGCAGCTGTTAGCCCACATATATTTTGCATAAGACAGCAAGAGAATTAGGATTAGACAAATTACAATAATCCATGAAGACACACTGACCAAAAAGTGAGCATTGTCATGCCTGCTGAGGGTAGGAGAATGGGAATCACAACTGGATTATTTTAGCAGGCAAAAAGAAACCCTATAACTCTAGCTACCATTTCTATTTTGGCCTCATATGTTGCATAACAGTGTAAGCACTGCAGAATGTATCAGCCGTGGTCTAGATAGCTTAGTTTCAAAAGGTAAGTCTTGAAACAACTACCAGAATAAAGAGCAACTTGATAAAGTCACCTTTTTTGCTGTAGTTGAGAGAGCCCTAGTAAAGATATCTGCAGCCTCTCCTACACACGAGAAAGAAAACCAGTACAGAAGAACTATCTCTTGTTACATGGGCAATCTTTAAAGTTTAATGAGGACAAAAGAATTCTATTTGGTTACAAGAACACAAAGGACTCTTAGTCTTTTAAAAGAAAAACTCCCTGTGTGTGTATCACAGTGTTATACTGATCAATTTGCTGTAGAGCCTACCTAGAATATGTTACAGATATCACCTGAAGACTGAAAGCAACTAATTTTTCCACCAATGTTTTACACCCTATGTCACCCCAGTCTTCAAACAGACAAAATGACAGACCTGTTGTCTAAATTTTATGTGCTCATCTGAAGGTTACCTCTAGATTTAAAGTCTTCAAGCTAGAAAACTCTTTTACGGTAAGAACTGCCAAAGAGGATGACCTGAATTCCAAAGTTTGGAGGAAAAAACCTCTTATTTGTATAATAAATCAGTAATCAATGAGAAGCAAGGATACTGACACACCATAAGAACAGTGGATGACTCTAGAAATCCTGAAAAGTATTCTAATTACAGAGTACATCTTTCTTGGTCAGGTCTTTTGGTTTTGCTTCCTTAAAGAAAAAAAAAAAAAGGCAAACCCAGCAGTTTTTATAGGTAATAGATAATATGAAAATTGATTTACTTGCTAGGAATTGCATTTACAGGGATGGCAGTGCAGTTGAGAAACACTGTTAAGAAGCAGTAATTAGTCAGACAAAACACCCAAATAATTAAAATGCCTAGAGGCTGAATCCCGATTAGAAACAAGATTTATTGACTTTCCCGCATAATCATGGAATTTTTTTTTCCATTTCTGTATTTGAACAATCTTAGAAAAAAAAAATACTTAAGAGATTCTTACCAGCTTCCTGTGAATTTAATACTTCTAAGGCATGCATCATGGCACTTGCAAAGACATTGGCATCTTCTTTGCTGCCAAAATTCAGACCGTACACCTGCCTGGCATCACGCCACTGGTGGAAGGTCTGTGTAGCCTGATTGTACTTCAGCCCTTTCGGAATGGCACAATTTATTACCACCTACAATCATTAAAAAAAAAAAAAAATATTACTTCTCTTTAAAATTGCTGTTTCATCACAAGTTTCAGCTTTGTGTAGATTTTATTCCTTAACCATATGGGTTAATTCAAGACCCACAATCTGAAAGACCACAATGCTGAAGCACATAACCATTTCAATTTTAATTCCAAGGCTGCATGTAATCAGTGATGAGAATACACAAGGGGACTAATGAGATATTTTGTATCAACTTTTGTAGCTTAAGTGTTCTCACTTCAAAAGATGCCGGGATGTTTCGTAACAGCAATGTAGTAACATCAACACTTCTGACTTTCAGCAGCAGACTGCTTGATGTGAATATGCACTTGGAATTCAGAAACTCAGTTTTCCATGAATTTCACAGAGTATTTGTTACAATTATTTTTACCCAAGTTATCACCTTCTCTCTGAGGCTGCTGCACCCCTTGGCCTGCAGGGCTCTCAGCAGCAGTTCATGTGAACTTCAACGATGCATCACAAGGTATTATTTTGCAGGATCGTTATGGCTCACACAAAAGATGATAAATTCGAGCTGGTAGTACAACCATTTACTACAAGCTATCCACTAAGAGGATCCCATTGCACTTTGATAACTGGATCACTCTCACCTTTTTTGCTGAATAACGGGAGGAAAAAACCCCACGTTTGTTCCCAGATGAATGCACAGAAACCATTTATTACTTGGAATAAGTGTTTAGTGACAAATCACATGGGAGATTATCAGTCTGTGCTTCAGGTGTGTGATAAATGACCAAGAACAGACCAAAACAATTCTATGAAATGCTGGGAGAAAGGGAAACAAATATAAGAAGCTTTCCTCAAATAAAAGACTGGATTTTTAACCCCATCGTAAGTATCACATGGCAGAGCATATTTCGAGACACGATGCCAAATTTGCCATGTAATCCCGATCCAGTAACTTCTTCAAGGAAATTAAGATATAATCCTTATTACTCCCTTCTCAGTCTCTCAAAGCATTACCGAATATCAGAGAGCTTTTTGGTCAAAATGATCGGGGGAAATGAGATATCATGCATCCAAGTTTTGATAAGACAGGAAGAGCCAAAAGACAACTGCTGGTGTCTACGCAGACTGCAGCTGACAGCACAGAGCAGGGAAGAAAAGCTTTTAGGTTGCTACTTTGCCTTAAAAACAACCAGATGACTTCTGTGTACACCACTAGCCTTTGTAGATAGATATCTGTAGGAAGGAATGGTAAAAGGACTGTTGCCTTGGAGGTATGCAAAGTGCTTAGTTCAGGGGGAAAAAGCAATAATACAGTTTTGCTCCTTCGATTAAAAAAAAAATCCATTTATTATTTCCTGGTCCCATAATTTTGCTGAAGGCTTATTTCTTAACATTCCAAATTTTCAGAGATTTCCTTACCTGATGATCCTGAATCTTCCTGCCCACTACTCTGAATGTGTTGTTGCCTGTGTGATGATATATATGAACTCTGCTAAATCCAGTTGATCCACCAGCTGGTACCCATTTCTTATTGGCATCGTCGTAGACCATTACAGCAGCTCGTGCTTGGCAGATACTCTGTTCACTGTTAAAATACAAATATTTTGGAGGAGAAAATAAAATTACTTAGGGCAAACCATCAATTTTCTGGTCAGCTTTTTTTTTTTTTTAACTCAAAATGTTAAAGCAATACTCCTTGCAACTTGCTGAAACACCCACCTTTCTGAATATAAACCCTGTAGCACTTTGACATTTTGCTTACATGTGTTCATTCTAGAGAGTTATGGTTAAGACAGGCAGGCCTAACTACTAATGAAAGAGATCAAGAAGATATTTACTTTTCCTGCACCTTCCCCCTCTGCTTTCTCCTCACCACCAACCATGAATTTTAATAAAATGCCATAACAGTACACAAAAGTTTTCTGCAAAATCTGAAGAGCAAAGAATGTGGTGTCACACTAGCTTCATACAGTTTGGATATTCCAGTGGCAGTTACTTCCACAAGACATGAGGATTGGAAGGCCCTTGCTCCCTTTAACACATATAGAAGAAAACAAACACACGTGGGACAAAGTTCAGCACAAAAAATTCACCAGCTCATAAATGAAATGCGTTTTGGCTTTGTCACATTTTACAACAGTCGACACCTAGATGTAACATTTTCTCCCTGAGAAAAGGTTCCACTGATTACTGAAAAGTGCAATTTCATCAGGAGATTGCTATCAGTGGCTACTCCTGATTATGCCAGTCATCTGGAAGCTAAGGTAGAGCCTGAAGTTACAAAGGAGCGTATCACGAATGTCATCATATTAGAAACACAAGAAATCAGAACATACCATAAGCACACTGTTTACTAGGAGAGGAAAGGGTGACACCATGCAAGTTGGCTTTACGGGAAATGTCCAGATGTAGACAGGAAGTAAAAATAGAAAGGAATGATTTCTTATCAGTAAGTCAAATTCTCTGAACATACCACTCCAGTACATCCAACATTATAGAAAGCACATGATGCCTGGCTTGTAAGGAATGTGGCCTGCCATTTGGAAAATTGAGAAGGCCGAAGAGACATACATTCTTCAAAAGTTACAAAAGGAAAGAAATGAAGTATTTCTTCATATTTCATGAAGGATGCCACTCCCAACCATCTTTCTTGGAGGGGGGGAGGGTATGGGTTTGGTTGGTTGGTTGGTTGGTTTGGGGAGAGGAGTGTGTGTTTGTTGGGTTGGGGTTTTTTTAAATACCATGTTGAATTTCCTAATATCTTATTTCTGTCTCCCAACACAAGAAAATTCTGCACTGTATCCAGCTGTTTTGTTAACTTTCAATACCGACATTTTTGAGAAAACAGCATCAATTTCTACAATACTTTCCATGACAATCTAACAACTAGAAAAGCACTGAACGCTGGGATGCTTTTCAAGGCTAGGGGAGAAGAGGGAGTACTGAGATCATGTCTCTTATGCACACAAGAGATTCAAGACCAAACGAGGAAATACGTTCTTAATTTTAAAAATGCACGTGTTCTAGTCTCATCAACTATTCAACAGCTAGATAAGAATTGGATTGCAACCTCTAATTAGACTACCCTTTTTCTAGCCAGAAACTAGTTCAATGTAGGGACATTAAAATTATAATATACATATATACACTGCTTTTTTTCTAAGTATAATTTACAGTTTAGACTGGAAGGACCACATCTGATCCAAGAAGAAAGATTAGATGCAAAGAAAATAAATTGAGTTATAACTTTTATGTGTTTCACAGCGCCATTAAAAATACGGCACAGTTAAATAATGTTCACTCATTCGAGGAGAGGGCAATGCAAGAACCTACTGGATTCCTTTATTTTTAGATATTTTGGCACACATCTTAAAGTTCAAACCCAGAAACATTCTGTACTGTTCACAAAGTACATGACAAACAGTAGTGGTTTTTCTAAAATGCCTAACAGTATTACAGTAAACTTGGAAAACTTCTGAACCCATAACAATTTCTTGCTACGTTTGAATTTGGATCAATCACAGGCATGATAAAGCGTAGGTGACAGGACCTAGATACTGATTTGGAAGCAGAGCCATGTGGTTCGCAGAGTTCTTGCCAAAAAATAACTTCAACTCAGTCATGTGCCAGACAGATTAAAAAAAAAAAATTCTATTAAAAATTGAGACTATGATTCTACGCTAATATGTTCCAATTACAATGAAGGTAGAACCAGAGAGTGATTGAGTAATGGTACAGTGATCAGAAGACTTAATTATCAGGACAGACCATCAAAGATCAGGTGTTCTTATTCAGAGAATTCTCCCTGCCTTGCCTTGGTCCTTTCTCAGGCCTAAGTTTATAGAAGTTTTTATGATTTTATTTAACATACCGAGAGGAGGGAAAAAAAAAAAGAAAAAGAAAAACGTATTCATTTTAGAACTATTTGGTATTCAATGGCACACTTCACAAGTGCAAATACGATGACCTTGAGTAGAATTTCTAGCTTTTCTTTAACAACTGTTAAACTATTTTTAGTTCTGCTTCTCAGGCTATGCCTTGTAACTGGAACTATTACCCAAGTCTAGATCTCAAATACTTCATGCTCCATTTAAAATAAAACAATTTTCTTAAGAGGGAATTATTCTTAACCATATAAAGATATGAGATGATTCACATACTTTTAGAAGTTACAAATAAAAACAATTTTCAGTTGACCTTTTCAATCACTACACAATAAAACTTCTGCCCTCATTTCACATAAATCCTAAAACTAAAATTTCAGTGTTCCAGGTATGTAATTTTCATATCCAGGTATCAATTTGAAGGTGACATACTCCCCTCCTGCCAACAGTTCCCACCAATCATCACTTTGTTTATCAGGTTGCAACAGAGAGATGGAAAAATGAAGCTATCCCTACTAGAAACAAATTAAACCATCACAGTATGCCAGCTTTTTTCCAGAATTCAATAATTCCATATTACTAGATGCAGGGGAGATTTATTTAATTACTTTCTCTTAGTAACAATTCTCTATAGCGATTACATTTCGTTTTGAAGAAAAGCATGGAGGTATGAGCTTTAGTAAAGAATCTTTAAGTCTGCTCTTCAATGGTTATTTGATAGTTTAGCATTTCAATACAGTATATCACATATTGTAGCCATTAAACACTATAAAGTAAATATTTAAGTCTCAAAAAAAAAAATCACTTTTTTTTTTTGTTACAACTCCACTAACTTCAAAAGGCTACTACACCAAATCAAAAATTCATGCTGGTAGCTCATGATTGTCTTTGACTGGTCTAATGAAAAACAAGGTTTGTTTTTTTACCATGTTCCAACTTTTCCTAGGAAAATGCCGAGTTCAACATACAGACTGTTGCTAAAACCTGAGCCAGTGCTCTTGTATTCCTTTGAAAATATATATGAACTTAAAATTCAGCCAACTGAATCAGAACAGTATAATTTATTATACTTCTTGCTTATCACGCTTATTACACTTCTCTGTTGTACTTCTAACAGGAAGCAAGTCTTCACTGATCTCCATATTTATACATGAATTCTCTCCACAGGGTTTGCTGTAACACATGTCCCTTACGTGCAGGAACTGACCTGTGCTAGGATGACTTCATTCACTGCACCAGAATCACTCTGGTCTGTTCAGAAAGGCACATTTCTTACAGACAGATTACTTTTCACTAGTGAGAAATAAACAAACCGTCTACAGTCACGTTGAAAGAGAAAACAAAAAGGGTTTTCACCTATTTGCCACGTCTTCACCTATTTGCCAAGCATCCTACAGGGTTTACTTGCCTTTCTACAAATTTGCCTCTTCCTGGTTTCGTGTAACAGTTCCAGAAACCATTACACTTGGATTAGCCTGCCCTTTCCCCATATAAGAGCTCACTGGGGGATGTGGGAGAAGGAGCGAAGGGATCTATCTCCAGCTTCAAATGATACTGCCAAAAGGCACAGCTGCTCTAAGAACTGATTGCTAACTCATTAGGGCAGTGGTCTGGGGAACTAAAGTGACAATCTGAACATTAACTGTGAAAAATGGAGAAACTGTATGTTCCCAAGTAAACTTACTAAATTCAGTATATGAGTTATAATATATATATATTTGCAGAAAGGTGAAAATTCATACAAGAGAACAGTCACACAAAAGAGTGCTTACCAAACCTTAGGAAACAAAGTGTACAAGCTTTCTTCCCAAAATGTAAAGCTTGACAAATAGCTGAATAAATATATTTTAGGAAGACTTCTTCTCTAGACAAAGACGTTAAGGCTCTGATTGTTAAAGCCAACCATTATTCTGGGTAAGTCCACCTACAGCAATACCATATAAAGCCAAAGACAGGGTGGCTGGTTTTTATTTGGGGTGGAAGAGTGGGGGGAGGTCTGGCACTCAAAAGGCTCACACAAAAAACCACAGTAGTAATGAATCATAACTATAAGATTATTCTTATGGGAGAATATACTTTCCTCCTCCAGTGATGAGATCATACGGAAAGCTCAAAAACCATAGCAAACTGAACCCTAACAGACATCATTCTTTTGCCCAGATGGAATGTGTTCATTCTTTCACTCCCAAGTTCTTAAGCTCAATGCACAGTGACACCAATCCACAGTCTGCTGACTTAAGCCTTTTTTTTCCCCCTCTCCACAAAAAGTGAATGCTTGGTTTTCCTCTCTCAAGAACTAAAAAGGATAAACATACTTAACTGATCAAACTCATATGAAAAACAGCACGATAGCAGCCACAGAATAGATCATTTAACTATACTAACAAGAGCAAGGAAAAGCTGTGATTGCTCTCATTCTCAACCTTTAAGTATTTTTCTCAGTGATGTAACAATTAGGGTTTTGAAAAATCATTTCCCACTACCGCTGCTTCTGGTGATTCAGGGATTTTTTTTGCTATGTTCTCAATTTAGAGAGACATAACAACATGTTCTTAAATGTGCAGTCTTTGCGGGGCAGAAGGAATGGAAAGAGACACTGATTCATCAAACGCCTGTTTAGGATTTACAAACCATGTGGCACAAAGCTAGAAAGAAATTCCAAACACCTCCAAGCCCAACGTCTTAAAAATACACGTT